GCGTCGCCGACGCAAGAGTGGTAGGCGCTGTTCTGGCAGGGGTGAGGGGTGTAGGCAGTGGAGATCTTGTTGGCCTCTGTGAGAGAATGTCAGTCAAATGTCAGATATGGAAGCTGGTTGAGAGTTCACGTACCCCAGATATCCATCTCAGCGCAGCAAGCACCGAGAGAGCCAACACCGCCGTTGGCGTCGTTGCTCGAGGGGTTCCAGCCATCGACGTTGGCCTGGCAGTTGATTAGCGTCCAGATTGAACAAGGATTGCTCATCGTGTACTTACAACACCGTTGATGAACTTGACATCGCGAGGGCACTGCGAGTCGCAGTATCCGGTACCGTACTTGGCGCCAGCCTTGTTGGTGGAGAACTTGGAGAGACCACCGTCGGCGTCCATGGAGACGAAGTACAGAGCACCGTTCAGACCGCAGCCGATGTTGGAGACATCGACATCGAAGGTGAACTCGTTGCCAAGGAGGGTGAACATCTGTAGTTGATCAGTACACGGAAGCGTCTACTAAAAGTTGAAGGCAACTCACCTGGTACTTGGTATCGCTTTCCATGAGATAGACACGGCTACCAATGTTCTTGCCGTAGGCGTGGGTGGTGACGAACTTGAGGTTCAGCTCGCTGCCGCTGGTGGTGATACCGTAGGTACCCGGGTAGTCGGCGCCGTCGACGCAGCACTTGGTGGCGCAGTTGGCGCCCTGGCCGGCAGCACAGTAGGTGTTGTTCCAGGTGTTGCCCGTGTAGCAGTTGGTCGAGCCCTCGACTGTGTGAGCCCATCGCCAGTTGGAGTCGAGCACGACAGAGCCGGCGACGCTTGAGCAGGAGCCGCCAGCAGCGCAGGTCTGCCAGTTCAGCTTGGGGTGGACCTCTGCTTGAGAGGAGCAAGCCTGCTGGGCGCGGGCGGCGGCCACGAGGGCTGCGAGAGCGGCGAACTTGGTCTGCATCTTGAACGACGTGGTGTTGTAGCGGATGCTGGGCTGAGAAGAGGGAGAGAGTGTAATGATTGGGATGAGGATGAAAGGAAAGAAATTGAACTCTCGTCGAGAGATGATGATCTTATATAGAGATATTCTTCAGGAGAACTTTGATCTGTAAGTCAGTTATAATGCGCATTTTCGCACACTAGCCTTCGAGCTTCCCGGTTTCCGAGCTGGGGCGGGAGAAGCTCACGGCTAGCCAGGGCGAGATCCGACAACAAACGGCATCCGGGCCGTGAGACGATCTTGACCATGGCAATTCTGGCCTGGCGTAGTCAAGAGCCATCCAGGCACACTTGACAGGCTAGAAAACCTCATGAGATAGCGGGGCGACATCGTTGGCAAGGTGCGAGGCGCGGGTCCGGGCAGAAGCGTGAGCGAGATTGTCGGCTTGGCGCCTTCCAGGAACACACCCAACCATGGATCATGATGCTTCGTCGTCGAGCCAAGGTTTCTGTGGGTTGCCAAATTGGGCAAGTTTGGAGAAGAGGCACCCACGGCGTCGAGTTGGAGAATGGGCGGCGAGATTGGGGTACCCGCCCACGCGGGTTCTAATTGTCTAGGATCCCGATTCAAACGAAGTAAACGCACGATGTCACGTCCGGCCATGCGGCTGGTCACACCTCTCAGCAGACCAGCTGGCGCGACCGAGTCGAAAATCCATACTGAGGTTGCCCGATGTGGGACGCTTCCCGACCGAGCTCATTGGAGCACTTATTTCCTCTGCGCCCAACACGGAGGGGTAGCCGCCGAGTACCACTGCCTCGAATCGTTCAGTCAGCCTACGTCTCTGCAAAAAGGCGCAAGCCATCGTGAGAAATCAAGACGACTCATTTCCCTGAGTTGGAAAAGTCGGCGCCACCTCGTGATCGTTTCGCTTCCCGAAGATCCCGTCACTCTCACCTCACCAGCAACCCTCACGATGTTCCCGAGTTCCTGCGTCGCCGCCGAAAGACACATCGCCAGACTCGTCGGCTTAACTCGGGATGTGCCTTTGTGCCCCCCTCTCGCCTGTGATACACCAGAGATACGCGAGTGATGCCTTTTGGAGTCGCTCCCCGCATTCGCGGCACCATTCCAGGGTCTTCTGCCCAACCTTCAAGGCACATCATTGCGGGATGAGCTACTCCCCGCATAACGCCATTGGGCGCCCGGCAATGACTGCCATGCACCCGCTTTGTTCCTTGCTTTCAAAAACGCCATCTTTTGTTTCTTGGTACGCTATTTCGTTTCCAGTCGCCGCCAGACCGTCTGATCAGACGGTGATAGATTTGAAGTCGTCAAGCTTCAGCAAGAGACGTGGTTGCGCTGCCAATACTCTCGGCCAACTTGGCTTTGACTTTAGGTTATTAATTGATCAACACTGTAATCAATGCATACCAAGTGGACGGGTTCAGAACCAGATGAACAGCAATTTGTAGCAAGATAAATGGGGTACCGATCCAATCTGGCGGCGGATGAAGACTCCCATAATGCATGTGTTAAGAGCAGGGCGGCTGGACCACCACCACACCATTTGATGGTCACATTGACCTCTGCATAACCGGCTTCGGTTAGTCTTCGGTACTGCGGGATTCTTTGGGAGGCTGCCACGGTGCAATGCTACTCGGCAATACCTCTGTCAAGGCCCTGGCCGTCTAGCATGCGACCTCTACGCGACAAGCCCGCTCTCGGACGACATCTTCTCCACGTCGCAACTTGCCAAGGGCCGTTCTATTTAGCCGTGATAACCAAGAAAGCTGAAGCCTCTGGGCGGCGAGGATCAAGAAGCTTGAGCTCAGCCTCTCACCATGGCAGGGTCCAGATCACGGCCAGATGTGGTGGCGATCGGCAGACAGCTCAACGACGCCGCATTCAGTATCGAAACCATAGATCATCTTTCCTCGCCACGCGTTTGTCAGGATCTCTTCTGGTCGTTATCGTGCTTGGGCTTGTGATTGATGGTGGGCAAATCATGCTCGGATGAGGCATTCCTGTGGAGCATGCGTATCCGAATATCCTCTTGCAAACTAGATCTGGAAGATCCTCACAGCCGAACATCAGGTGGCTGTGTGGAGAGCCCTTTCCAGGCAAACGATCATCGGCTTGGGCCGTCCGGGTTTTGTCATTTCGCAGATTCCGCATATGTTTTGCGTCAGGGTGGGCGGAAGATGAGCCGTGACCACGTAGTTGCTATGATGTTCTGGAGTTGCCAGTTCCGACGACGTGCAGTCCAAAGCCGGTGGCGTCGATGTGCGGAGGACTCCACGGGGAAGAGAGGCTGACGATGTGGAGAGCCTCAGGTGAAGTTGGTTGACAGCTCCGGGGAGAATGCCGACTAGCTATTCGGAATCAAGGGAACGCGAGCCGTCAGTGCTTCGATAGTGCGTTGTGCTTGTGCTCTGGCATCGTGAGGTTGCATGCATTTGGTGTATTACTCTCGATCTCGGGCCCGTCTCCCTTGACGCGTGTCGTGCCAGGCACGAACAGCTCGCTAACAAAGGGTGGCCGCCACACGTCTGCGACTTCATATTGAAGCCAGGAACGTGAAACCTTGCCCCCGTCGGCAGCAGCCGGCCGTGGTGATAGGCGAGTGTCGCGACGAAGCCGTAAATGAGCGGGATACGACAGAGGGCACCCATCGCTGACAACGCGTGTGGTTGGCAATATCGACGTGGCGCTTAAGCGAGGAATGACGGAGTCCATACCGCGTCACCCAGAGGGCATTTTGACCGGGCGAAAGTCTTATCGTGAGCAGTAGACTGGACCGAACTGAAGCTGCGGACAGCAAAGCGCCGCGAACAGCGGGACGGGACCGGTTTGGACAGCAACGAGAAGCGCCAAAGTTGATCTTCGTCTGCTTCGAAATACCAGCCGAGATTGGCATCTGTCGCCTCGGGCGATGCTCAAGCTGCGGGCTTGGGCAGAATGGGCCGACGGACGGGCTCAGCCATAGTTCTCGGCTGGATGACCGTCAGCTTCCAGATGTCCTCAACGCCTGAGCATACACCCACCACAGTCAACAACATGGAGTCACTTGACTCTGCGCATGTTCTCCTCCTGAATCTCGCGGCATCGCCGCAGAAGCGAGAAGCGGGCCCCCACCACCCGGCCCAGATTCTGACGTGAAGAATGCGTAGCCAGGCTGCACCCAGGCGTCAGTGCCTCTCAGGTACCGCCCGAAAGCTCCAGCCGTCACGGGCAGAGGGGTCGGCGGTCTGCCCAAACACCCGGGAAAAGTCGTGCTGGTGGATTCTTCGCTGGTGACATTCCCCTAAAGGAAAAGCGCGCGTTCGCATTGCGGAGGTTGAAGTCGAGGCTCCGTGGTTTTCACGTCCCGATTTGGCTTCCTCTCGCCACGACGTCGCATTGGCGGCTGTAACCAGAGAAGCTAACGTTAGTAAGTGCGAGCCGCGGACTGCTGGTGACCAAAAGGCGGAAATAACGTCGCAAAAGTGACACTGTTCCGTGGAAGAAAATTGAGCATCACATGTGGACCGGTCCGACGATGTTGTTCGTGTGAAGTTTGGAGTGGTGAGGAGGGGACGGTGCTCGTCGCTGCTAAGATATGTACAGTGCGCGTTTCCAGTGGACCCGATATTACACCGCAGCAGGCACTGTACGCACCTCCTCTACCACCATTCAAGGCCCGAGAACGAACTGGACCAAAAGCGATAGTCGCAATGACTATATGCTGAATTTTGATCTGACGCTGATTTTTCGAGAGCTCGCCAAAGTGTGTAATGGTTTGAACACCTAATCTACACTATCATATCTGCCAGGAGGCAGTGTCTCGATATGTATTACTCCAAAAGCAGATGGAATATCTCGCAACCCTGCTCGCAGCCGGACTCCTTGACTGCCTGTTGGCCAGAGGCCCAAATACCCCTGAAACGCCTGCCAGAACCGTCCTCCTCGCCTCTTATACACACAAAACATTGGCCCACAGGCCGAAATCCTGAAGAATCGGAGGTCATTTGCCGGGAACTCCGTATTTTCCCATTCGACTCGAAGCCCGCCTCAAAGTAACCGATCTGTTTATTATGCTGTTCTAATGACAGTAAGGTGCATGTTCTTGGTTTGGCGAGGCAATTTTCCGTCGCGCTCAAAGAGCAGGCCACAGTTTTGGCACAATGACTGTTCAAAGTTAGCGAGGGCACATCAGATGGAGTTAAATAATTGAGATACTTACCCTTGGTCCATTGGGCCCAGGTCTTACCGCCCAGACACTGGAGCCCCAGAGAGCGCAGTGAGCGCATCTCCAAGACAACCGCTCCTGATCCGACAAACCGCTTCCAGCACCATAACCGGATCCAACATCGGGAGTGCCTCGTCCGCCTGGCGTGCCCGACCGGCCGACGGGGCTTAGACTGCGGAATCGCCTCTTCTTCTTGGATCGCTCACCTCTGCCCATGCGCTCTTCCTCTACAGCCTCGACAACATTGCCGAAACCTGAGAATGGCACGCCACCGACCAAGCCAGTCGTTGAGCTGAAACGGGCAGTTTCACGGCGGAGTCGTCTGATTTGTCTTTCTCTATCGCCTTCGCGCTTCTCGATCTCCTCCTTGCTGAGGAACTCGACCTTGGGCTCCCAAGGATCACCCAGATTCTCGGGGTCATAACGCCAACCGGCATCTGCTCCAGCCGTAGCATCGTTGGGGAATTCGCGGAGACCATTCCATCCCATGACAAGGCCGCCGGCCTCACAGGCCTCCTTCTTGAGTCGGAGAACTGCTTCATAGATGGCATGTGTGACAGCGGGAACCCACTCGCCAGTCAAGCCGAGATCTTCGCAGGTCTGGGCAGCGAAGGCTTCTGGCATGCCAGGAGGATGCAGCAAAGACCACTCAAACTTGTCGGTGTAGAGGGTCGACTGAAGATTGATGTTTAGGGTTACGATGCATCGGTAGGCGTCGTCATGATCGTACTCATCGGAGCCAACGGGAATGGGAGTGGCGTGTGCGGTAACATCTGGAGCTGAGGTCGCTTCTTTGGCCCTAGCTGGTGTGCCCAAGCCGCCGTTCTGCATGGGGGTATCGGAGCGGCTGACAGCGCCAGTAGCAGGAGTGGGGGACTCTTCATGGTTGGCTACAGAGCTTGCTTTTGTCGCATCGTTGTTTCCGGGATTTTGCGACTGCGCATGGAATAGCGGGTGCAATGCGACGCCAGCATACTCTTCGAGCTGCGTGCGAATCTGCTTGGCGATTTCGAGCATCGTGTTGTGGCGGTTCGGCAAATCCAGATCCTGCACGTACGTCTGCGCGAACTGCTCAGTCGTGATGACAGTTTCGTGCAGGTTCCAGAGGAAGTTGTCGCGTAGTCGGTAGGGCGGCGTCATTTCCTGCGTACGGTATTGAGGCAGGCTGGTGTCGACGGTGTGAGGCGCTGAGGGAAATGGCACTTGAGGGACGAAAGCCGGAATGTCCAGCTCGATGCGAATTGGAATCAGCGTAAGGGGCAGGTCGGCCTGCGCTGAGTTTTGTTGGTCGCTTCGCACCTGGCGTCCCTTGCCAAACCAGTCTCTCCAAATGCCTTGTACGTCGACCGGCTCGTTTGTATCCTTGCCAGCCTTATCAGACAGATCCAGCCTGTTGGCAGTGTCCTCTCTTCTCAAACTGCGCAAGCCAGTCGGGCGGCGACGGCTATCATCATCGTCATCGTCGATGTCGTCGTATCCATCTTCGGCGTAGTTGATGATGGTGGTTCCGCGCTTTGTCGTTCGCGAGAGGGGTGCAGAGGGTCCCGCGGCTTGCAGGACAGGTGTCAAGAGAGAGTTATTGTAGCTTCGAATACGTGGCGCATACGTAGACAGGAACGCCTGGGGCTTTGATCGGACGTCCATGTTGTGATGCTAGTAGACCCAATGGGTCATCGCAAGCTGTCGCAGGGCTGTGGTTGGTGTTGGAAGGACACGTCAAGGGCGGCGGGACGATGCTGAACGAGAGTCAATGCGCATGCGCGATTTCGATCGTGGTTCGCTGTGTCGTTGGCGACAATGCTCGATTGGACGGGGCTGACGATGCTTGCACGCCGCGGGTGCTAGTCGTGGAGGTGAGCGCCGACTGTGGGATGTGGACCGCGTTGGAAATGCACTTGGGGAGCAGCAAGGCGCGTCAGAAAAATCAAGTCGGCACTTCCCGACCGACGTTGAGCTCCCAAAGCGGCTTAGCTCAAAGCTTACTCACCGACCTCACCGGGCCCACTTTGGCTGACCGGCATCCACCGAAATCTACACCGAAGTAACTACCACGCTGGCCTCGGAAACCAGGAAAGAATTACCTAAAAAGCCAAAACATACTAGTTCAAGTGATTTCAAGCTAAATAGTAGTTCTCTTAGATGTCGCTCATTTGAGAGACGAGGGTCATGAGTCGTGGTGGTTAACTCCGACGTAAGTTTGGGTTAATATCAGAGAGCAGAGACACCACTATCACCACAATCTTGATTTGCCCAATCAAATGTCAGTCGCTGTTCAATGCCTTCTACACACCTTAAAGTCTCATGTTCTCATATGGAGACCTTCAAGTCTCATCCTAAGGGCTAAATCGGCAGGACACTGATACTGTGTCTGTATATGCAGCACTGTGGTGTACCGTGTCACAGGGGGGTGTGAGTGATGTGGATGCAAGGGGCAAGCACATTAGCCAGTGTTTAAAAATAAAGAATCGACTTTTGACCTTCATCTGACTTCTACTGATTGCCAACTGGGAGATATTTCCTAAGAGCTAGAAAGAGCCAGTCATACCTTGGTGGCGTAGCGGTTTGGATATTTTGAGAATGTCCTAAATTGCACGAGGAGAATATCTGCATTTTCAAAAATGCTCCGATGTCATCAACTGTGCGATCACACAAGGCCTCAAATAATATCTACTGCAGAGACTGAGCTCCCTGTACTACCTTGGGTTCCTTTGTTATGGCTTATCACGTTCATGGAAAAGTGTGTTTGTTCAGGCTGCTTGGAACTAACAAGCAGCCCCCTACACCCCTCCCTCAACATGCTGAAGCAGGAAAATTCCTTTAGAGAGGCTTATGATCCTATGGGGATCTGCATTCGGCCTCCTTCACTTCGAATCAGTTCAGCTCTACCTTAGGAAGCTCAATCCTTGGGAGCGGGGTAGCTTCCTATCCCTGACAGACAAACAGCAGTTCTTCAGACATGGCAACTTCCTTTGAAGCAGGAACGACCAGTGAGATGGAAAGCGTGTCCCCAATAAGCGAGCTTAGCGTGATATCTCTGCAGAAGCTGCGACTGAAGTCTTGAAGGTAAGCTTCTTGGGGGTGGAGATGTGGATTCTCTGGGGATGTTCCTGCTCCTGTTCTTCCTGTCTGCAAGTCCGCTCTTGCTCAAACAGCCTCAATTCAAGCGAGAATTGCTGCTAACGGCAGGAAGAGCGATCTGAAATACTTCCTGCTCATATCTCTGCTACCGTCACAACCTTCCTCCGCCAGGCTATATAATCCCTTCTCTCTCCCACCAACCTCACAACTTCTTCTCCTTCGCACTCGCCACTCAAGTCTTTTACCAGGTCCTTCGGTCTTTCACCTTCCACTTTCACTTCAATCTTCCGTCTTTCTTTGACAAACCCACTCTTTCCCCAAGCCCACTCAATAACACCATCAAGATGTTCCCCAAGTCTATCATCACTGCCGGCGCCATTAGCCTTGCTACTCTCGGCATGGTCCAGGCTGCCCCTCTGAGCACCGACGAGGTCCAGGGCCTCGCTCTCATCAACGAAGCCCGCCAGAAGGTCGGCCAGGCTCCTCTTGCCTGGGATGATGCTCTCAAGCAGGATGCCCACGTCTGGTCCGGAAACCTTGCCGCTGACAACAAGCTTGAGCACGCGCCTGCGTCTGACCGCAATGGCGCTGGTGAGCTTCTCAGTATGTTCCGCACTGAGGACCGCAACTCTGTCCAGATGACTCGCCCCATCACTGAGTCTTCCAAGAACTGGCTCAACGCCGACGGCCAGCAGCAGTCTACTGATGTTGCCAAGCACCTTGGTCTTGCCGGTACGTTCCTTCAGCACCCGCGCCTCCTTCCTTTGCTAACTTCTTTCCTCTACAGAGCAGCTTCTGTCGGGCAAGGCCACCCGCATCGGATGTGCCACCTCTACTATCAACGGGAACTCGGAGTCGCAGTGGTTCCTCTACACTGTCTGCCGCGTTCACGCTGACATCCAGCCGTACGTATCTTTTTCTTTGTCTTCTTCACTGGCTTGTTCTGACCTGGGTGTTTGCAGTGCTGAGAACAACTCCCTTGACCGCCGTGGTGGTGGTGCCGGTGTCATGACCTGGTTCAACCCTTCGCTGGGCTCCTGTGGTAGAACCAACGGAGACAACGACATGGTCGTCGCCATCTCCCACATCACCATGGGTGATGCTGGAGGCAACCCCAACAACAACCCCAACTGTGGCAAGACGATCACCATCTCCCGCGGCGGCATCACTAAGACTGCTACAATTGTCGACAAGTGTATGGGATGTGGTGTCGACCACATTGACGTCAGCCCTGCCGTCTTCAGAGCCTTTGCCGACCTTGGTGCTGGCAAGATTGGTGATGTTAAGTGGAGCTTCTAAGCTGCTTCAGCTGGAAATCTGAATTCTCTTCTCAAGTCACACATGGTTCAGAGTTTGAGAGGCAGCCCGCATGGGATCTGGTCATTCATCACTTGCTATATGGGGTGGGAAACCTGACATGGTGATTGGTACTGGCCCGAGGGGCGGAATATTCTGCGACTACACAGTCTAGATACCTTTTTGCAATTGCACATTTCATCACACTGCCTACTTGCTTGTCCGCTCTGTGATACCAACCTTGTTTGAAACATTTCTACTTGCGGCAACCTTTGTCTAAGAGACCGGCTATTGCTCCTATGCTACAGCGACTACTTTTCCTGTAGCTATACTCTAATTACTCTACTAATATCGATTCTATCGTCGTCGTCGTCATCGTCGTCCTCGTCCTCATCATCGCTATTGCTACTATCGCTTTCTATAGTAGTAATCAAGTGCACAGGAAATATAGCTGTGCAGACACAGGAAAATTAGGCGATCTCTTATCGAAAAGACCTTGCAGTTGTAAGATTACGGAGTGGTGCTACTGCATAATGTCGTAGCTCAACATCTGCGTGTAACTTACCCTTCTTTGTTCTGCAATCAACGTTTGAAAGCCTTCTCCAGCTCGTCAGCTGCACCTCTAGGGAGTTTGGTAAGAGCGACTACGTTCCGCTCGATCCACGCCAAGTTCGGCTCATCACCAATCCAGCGATTCTTGGGATGCCACTGCTCGACCAGTGCCGCCAGGGACTTGTTCTTCTCGGGTATCTCCTTCCAGTAGGAGTACGTATGGCCCATTCCAACCACTTCCAGGAAGCACTTGAGTCGCTCTCTGCTGTTTCTGCGCTCTTTCAGGAGTCTGGTCATGATCTTGAAGAACTCAGCAGGCTCTGCATCCACCGCCGTACGTACAATAGCAACCGCCAATCGGGCCCAGTGGGCGACCAGCACCGGGTCAAGGGTCCCCTCGAGCGCTCTAAACTCGATGGTGCCCACGAGAACCGGCTCCCATGGGCCATATGGGAAAGCACTGCCACTCATGCAGTTGATCTTGTCAAATGAGATGCTACCGCGCGGGGGCATCGTGCCATTCGCAGCAGCCAGCAGGCCGGTCAGCCTATTATGGTCACCAGCACTCCAAATACACGTAAACTGGTCCTGCAGACGCCTCGGAAGACCGCGCATGGGGAGATGGGAATCAATCTCGACCACCAACATCTTGTCGTCCCCGCCGATTAACAAGTCCTCGTAGCTGCGCAGGCTCGTGCTCTCCGCGAGGTTGGACCCCGTACGGAGAGGCGCGGCGTGGTTCACCGCGCCGCGGACGGGGTGCACCAGCGTGCTGAGGATAGGATCAACCACCCAGGCGAGGCAGGCGAGTTTCTTGAGCGCGGTGAGTGTGAAGGGGCGGACGGAGCCGACGTGGACGTGCGTGCCGCAGGTGCCGTCCAGCATCGGCCGCGTCTCGGCGCGGAGGATGGCGAGCACGTCGAGGATCTGGCGGCAGTCGGACGCGCGGTCGCGGAAGATGGGCGAGGAGATCTCGAAGCCGGAGACGCCGCCGGAGTAGCCCAGGATCGGGCCGAGGTGCTTCGTCAGGCTGGAGTCCTGGGAGACGTGCCAGAGCTGGTACATGTGGGAGGTGCCGGGGACGATGTCGACGGTGTGGCCGCGGACGGCGGAGACGGTGGCGAGGGGGCATGCGTAGTGGGCGTGGGGTGGTTCGTCCCTGCGTTGTTTGACGGTGTTGTAGGTCGCGCTGAAGTGGCCTTTGCTGTTGAGGAGGGCGGCGAGATGTTCGGCGGTGTGCTCGTAGATTGTGGAGGAGATGAAGGCTCGTTCGGTGTTCGATGGAAGGACGTAGGTCCAGCGCCTTTCGTGGCGGTCGGGGACTTCGAGGGCGTATGGGAGGAGGAACTCGAGCTCGACGCCGAAAGTGTAAGGGGAGAGCCAGGAGTGCTCGGCGAGGTCGATGGTGGGACAGGGTTGGCTGGCGGCGAGGTCAGGGGGAAAGCGGCGCGGGTTGAGATTGCGGTAGTATTTGGCTTGCGCGGACAGGTCGATATCTGTGAGGAGTTCAAGTACATCATATGTGTTGAGTGTGCCTTGAACGGGCGAGTTCAAGGAGAGGATGTGTTCTATGCGGTCGCGAGGGGCGTTGATGGCGAAGGAGACGAGGCCGTGACATACCTTGATCCAGTTAGAGATAGCGGCGAAGTCCATCGTGCCGGCGTGCTGCGCGAACTGGACTCTCTGGTCTCCGTGTTTGGCTTTGAGGAGGCCAGAAA